GATTGATTAAATAAATCATTAATCATAAAATAAATCTGAGTTAAAAAGTTATCATATTGTTTTATTTTTATGCATTCCAGGATGTCTACATAATTAGATTATTAGTAACGTCATTGAATCATCTAATAAATACTTATCCTTAAAACCTTGGTCATAATTTAAGATAGCTCTAAAAAAAAATTGCGTTCAAAGTTTTTTTGTTGCATTTTATACCTAATGAATTCCTGCAGCTCTTGTTATCGTGTACTTCCTCGTGAAGCATTCATATATGAGAATAAAACATACAAAACATGTGCTGAATATAAAACCAGTAGAGCGAACAAAAATTTTGAAAAAGCAACCAATATTGATGATGAAGAAACTTCTATGGAAATGATTTCATTTGATGAAATTAGTAACTACGTTTCTGATATGATTAATGGATTGGGAGAATATGATACTTTGCTTGTTTCTACTTTTTGTGTTAAACTTGATAAAGCTACCCTTAAAGCTATTGGCACAGAAGTTGGAATAATGGCTAAACTGATTGTCGATGAGATTAAAGAAGCAGATGATTTCAGATAGACATAAGTAAATTTTAAATATGACTATAATTATACTTATCTTAAATTTTTTTTAAATTTTGATCTCTTAATTTATTCTAAGTTTCTAATTGAAATTCAAATTTTAAAAGTTTTATCATCACAAGAGGTAAAATTTATACTAGTAATATATATGTTTGTAATTACAGAGCTACAACTGCACCAAAACTTTCATCCTGTCATGAAGGTGTCGGCAATACATATTTTGCATGTTTCCAAAGTACTGAAATTGAGCGTGAATACAAACATTCGAATTGTAAAAGGACTGATTGTTTTGATTGTAATGGTAAATTAACTATTCATATTGATATTCCAGTAGAAAAGACTAAAATTGTATTGCAACATAAGTTAATTCACAAAACACCTATTGATATTGCAACACCTCCGGAAATAAAACAAGAGATTATGGAAAACTTGAGTATGGATCCAGCTCACTTACAGATGCACTTTCAAAAAAAATTTGATATATCTAAAATTACCTCAAAGCAGATCCACTACTAGTGATTATACTATGCACAAAAATTTTATAAAAGTGAAGAAGATCATGTTCCTTCTGCATGCACGCTTATTGAACAGCAGTGAAAAAATGGTTATGACTTATGCTTTTGGCTAGAAACTAATATTACAGCCATTGGTTTTACCACTCCCTTATTTCATCCATTGCAAAACATAACAGAGATACATTGTGATGCTATATACAAAACCACTAAAGGATGTTTTGAACTTTACGGGCTTATTGAAAATTTCGAAGATGCTTTTAATGCTTCTTTTAAAATAAATACAGTTGACTCTGGATATAATGAACCTCTATATAACGAATTCTGGATATAATGAACCCAAAAATTTAAAATTCTATAGAAATTCAGTATAGAAAGCACCATGGGTTCTTAAGAAAACATAGTAATTTTCTATAACGAACTTTTTTTTTTCCTTTCAGAACTGTTAGTTCGTTATAGAAAGAGTTGACTGTATATTAAATTTTGTGATTTATTTAATTTTAAGAAATATATATTTGTAAATTTATAAATATATATTTCTTAAAAATATTACGAATCACAAAATTATTAGTAAATCATAAAATTATTATTAATTAAGAATCACTTACATTTAGGTGCAGGTTTTCCTCTGGCTTATCTAATATTAGACACAACAAAAATAGGTAATGAGGTTCATGAAAAGGTGTAAACTGAGGTACTTGAGAGTTTTTTTAGTACCCTTTACAGCAAAGGTCTACATCTGATATACTTTTATACCAATAAAGACTTTGCGGAAATTAATTCTGCGAAAAAAATATGGCCAGTATACAATATACAACTTTGCTTATAGCATATCGAAAAAGCTCTAAAAAAAAAATTAGAAGTAAAAATAAAATAAAACGAACTGATTATCAATATGAAGAGGTCGCAAATGAATTTCTTTTTGTTAGTTCTTTTTTTAAGTCTGACTTAAAACGTGAAGATAAGGAATACTATATTGTTTGTCCGTCTAATCTATATAAAAATGTCATTGATCTCGTTAAAAAGCATTTCAACATACATCCCAAAATTCTAACTAATGCAAATGGTCAATTTCTATCTTCTACAGAAATAAGAAGAAAAGCGGTTGAGGAAATATATGAATTTTGCAATACAAATAACCTTGTACTGCTTTGGTTATATTTGTGATGTGCCTGGTACAAACCTTCTAGATGGTGTCTCTGAGCTTGTTTTACATGGGAAGCAATACCTCTTGGTAAAACAAATAATATGATCGAAGCCTACTGAAAGGTTTTAAAACATCATTACCTTTATCAATTTAATCGTCTAAGACTCGATTATCTTATTTGGATTATTTGTACTTGAGTATTACCAGATCAAATTATATGCCTTCAGCAGATTTCACTTGGTAGATCAAGTTCGTCATGCTTTGAGAATTTCAAGAGAGAATAGAAAAATTTTGCTGAAAAGTCAGTTGATAAGGAAATTGATAAATGTTATTTTATTGATTTAAAATGTTGGGTTTGTATTGCCCTTACTTTCTTTATAGTCATTTTTTAATTTGCAAGCATTTGATCTACATGGCATTAAAAAAGGCAAAAGAAACGGAATTACAAGACATTTGGTTAGTTTACTCTAACTTTAAATAACGAACTGAATATCCATTTCTAATTTGGAATAGAAGTGAAACTAGTGAAACTCAAGACATACCTGAAATCACACCTAATCTAATACCATATGATTTATCTTCAATTGACAATTATGCTGAAGATACTAAAAATATAAATCGACATCAAGAAATTGAGGCTAAAATAGCATCATTAAATCATTTAGTTGAACATTTAACTACAGAATTGACAAATAACAATTTACGCTATGTAGAAGCAGTTATTAATAATTTAAATCATGCTTTTACAATTATTAATGACATAAAAATAGCACAAAACAGATGACAATGTGTTTCTACTTGGAGAGGTTCAAAGCCTTGGACTCTATTCTTGTCTTAGCATTAGTAAATTTTTCTTATAAAGATGCATTTATACATTTGCATAATATACTATGTAATAATCAAACTGTTAAACTATAAATAAAAAAATCGCGAAATTTAAAATTTTAAACAGATCTTTTCTTTATTTAAATATTAAAGATTTTTCTAAATTCAAGTTTAAAAAAAATGGTGCTTGTAATATTATCGCTTATTTCAAAGTATAAAAAAATTTCACGATATTTAATAAAGTTAGAGACATGGCCCCATAAAAATTAAAAAAAAAAATTTTCATGATATAATATTATATATAGTTTGATATCACATATTTGTATTACATAATGTAATAGGGAACCAGGTCGGAAGATTGGCACATAATACGTGACCGGAAAATCGATCCTACACCCTGTCAATCAGTTTTTATATCAGTCATCTGATTTGTCACAAAATTTATAAAATTTAACTAATTTTAACCCTGGGTTAAAATTATAAATTTTAACTACCCTGTAATTTATTATAAATTTTTACTCAAATTTGAAATTAATATTAAAAAAAGAGTTAAAGTTTAGGATTAGGGTTATAAATAGGCTAGAATAAGATTTTTTATAGTGCTGAATATTTTTACTTAGTATACTAAATATAGTTATTTAAGCCGTTTTTGAGTTATAATAAGGGGGGTGATATTAACCTGAGAGGCAAGTTAGCAAAATCTAAATTTATATAACAAGTATTTTTTTTTTTTGGTGTTCAGATAGGATCTTGTCCATAACTTTATTTATTGTTAATACTTTCATTACATGTATTACTACATTTCCATATTTACATATATCAAGTACACCAAGCTC